TTTACATGATTCAATCACTGTATAGAGCTCATTTGATGCAAAACACTCTAGCCGGACTGACAGTTAGAATGCCGCCCTAAATCTTTACTATTTGTGGGGCCGTGCAGGCATTCTAAGTGTAGGAAAATGAGACACGCATTCTAAGCCTCCACCCTGGAGCCGGTACGGCATTCTATTTTTCAGTCCGGCAGTATATATATAAGTATAAGTATATACAAAGCTTGGTGGGTCATACTTTTGACCAGCGGCTAGACTTCTATAATCCTCTATCGTATTCCATGGAATGCATTCCGCCCATTGAACTCACTAGAATGGAAGCCTCCTCATCCCACACCCCCCTTCCTCACGCCTTGACCTTCCGCACATGTGGCCTGGGTCCAGCACCCACGGGGGAAGGCCGACTCCACCACGGACTTGTACGAAGGTTGTGGAATGATTTAAACTTGACACTGCCGCAGCTGTTCCGGGATCACTCGGTCTATGTCCAATCAGGTGTCACTTGCCTTCTGCCTTTGACTTTGGCCACATGACTTTCCCCAAGTTGGCTTCACTTGCGAACTTGTTTGAACTGTTTAAAGTATTTCAAATCAACAGAATGCTCAACAATTTCAGGTGACCTTCACCTGCATCAAACAAAGACCGCGCCTCACCTACACGACTCTCTCTAATATATAGTTGTGCTTTACGCATAATGTGTGGAATCCTTGGCAAGCATGCTAGGCTATACCTCGAAACCTGTTGCGATCGCAATGAACTTGCACCACCTCTCACTTCCATGTACTCCATAAACTATACTGAATCATCCTCCATGCACCTATTCTCAGATCTCCAAACCATGCTTCTTTCTCAGATCTCCTAGAAACCAACCCACCAACCACGCCATGTTCCACCCACCACGCCATGTTCCACCCGACTGCACGGCCTTGGCACCCGCGGTGGCGCCGTGCTGGGCTTCAAAGGCTTCTGCCGCGGGGCGCCCTGACCGGCGGCCGATGTCTTGGATGGGACGGCTGGAGCGAAGTGAGGAGCGGTTTCCCGGTTTTCCCCCTCGGCGGATCGGGTTTCAATGCAGGTTTCGAAGAGTTGTTCACCATCCAAAGGGCGGCAAGATTGTTGGGTACCATATGTTGCTGGAGGAGTGAACATGGGATTTGTGATGGTCTGTGTATCAGTTGGATTCAGTTCGAACCCAATGCATGTGGTGAAGCAGTCCTCGTCCTCCACTGGCTGAACTGGTCGGCACTGGTGGCCGGAGAGTGGCTTCAGAAACAGTGGCAAACACATCGAGCTCTCTTGAGTGTTCAATTCTGCCAGACCAAATGGCCGAAGTCTCGAGGGAATGCACCTGAAATGAGATATGACATCTACAACTTGATAACATATTTTTTTGATGCTTTTCTGAGGTGTGTATATGTACATGTACATATATTATACACATGTATGCTTAAATACCCAAGCACTCCACACATGCCGATCAGTTGGGGTGGTTGAAAAGAGGTCGATGTAAGCATTTATACCACATGCATGGAATATTTTTGGACTGTCTGTGATATATGTATATATTGTCTCCACTTCTTCTGGCACTGCTTCTTCCTCCTTTTTTGCTTGATCTGAGACGACTCCTGGCGTCTTCTTCCTGGCTCCTCCCCAACTGCCAGCCAGGAGTCGAGGCATTTTCTTCCATGTCTTGCATGAAGAGCAGAGCTTCCTCTACTGCGCCAAATGAGAAAGGAATCATTCAGTGGAGAACACCAAGTAGATCATGGTGATTTCATGTGCTCTACGCGGATCCGACCGGTCAAGTCGGCGAGTGGTCGCCCCGACCGGCCCGAACTCGGGCCCGTGAAGACACACACACCCGCACCTCGGTCGCAGGACGCTCAGGAGCAGGTTCCTGGAGTCGGATCTCATCAGAACCGCCCAGCAACCTCCCCAGTGGATGGGTGACACCGAAGTCCACACGAGATCATGAGGCATGGCAGATTCTGCAGATGTGGGACATGCTTTCGGCAAACCAGGTGTTTGGGTCTTCAAAACTCCGGCATCCACTTCACAGCGTTTGTTTTTTGTTTCGTCTTTCCAATCCTCTGTCAACAGCACAGATGGTAGACCAGGGGCGAGGCGTGATAGGTACTGAACAGTGAGCATGGGGACCTTCTTTCATACTCCTGGTGAGCCTGGTAAGCCTGGTAAGCTTGAGCAAGACTCTTTCATCGCCCTCGGACCACTCGATTCGATCGACAGTTGGCACGATGTTCGAATAAATCCGGACATCAGTGAACCCATAACTTCAAAATCGGGCCAGCAGGCTCTGGTTCTGGCCAAAAGCCCCAGGCCATCAGGCCTGTGCCCCAGGCCATCAGCCGCTTAAATATCTTAAATCCTTTCGGAAGGAATGTCAACATTCTTGGGCTTCAAGGGCCTCCTCGGTCTCGCGCGCGCGCGCGCCTCCCAGGCGAGCTCGCGGTGTGGCGGGGCCTTCGCGGGCTGGGATGAACTGCAGAGAATGTGGGATGAACTGCGGGTCTTGGGCATTTGATCAATGTTCTTCCTTCCAAGCCAGAGTCTGACGTTGCTCAAGTCTTCAGACTTCCTAGTGGCGGGACTCTAAGGGGTTGAAGTGAAAAAACGTGTTGAAAGATCCAAAACGTTTTTTCTTCGGGCCTGGAAGCGCCATTGCATTTGGTGCGACAGTTCCATGGTGGATGTTGGGGGAAGGCTTGGCAAGGAATCAAGGCAACAAAGCATGCATTTCAACTGACCAAATAGAATATGATCCCAAAACCAGAGAAACATCAATTGGCTTCAAAACAGCTTCCACTACGACTTTTATTTGGGGTTTCGAAACAAACCATAGAAAACCACCGGAGCTTGTTCGCGGCTCTTCTTGGATCTGCTGGGCTTGTCGAAACTGTCCAATCACTGCTCGGCTAATCTGTCAAGCTTAGCTTCACGAAGGCCGACAAAGACAAAGGCTTCTTGGAATGATTCGACCTGTCTTCTTTTGGTGTGTTCGAATTAATAGCAACCTCCTGCCACTGACTTTCAGTCCGTTGGCCTCTTCCCACAGGTCTGATTTGGTGTTGAGTTTGGCTTGGCAATTGCAGTTTCATCTACTCAGAATGATGAAAACCAGCTTGGAATACTTGCGTACATGTTAGTTCATCCATGAATTAGTGCAAGCATTTATTGCAATTCCCACAAAGAAGCTACTGACAGTATATACGAGTAAGCAAATCTTATATGATTCCACACCAGGACCCACCTTCGGGGTGGTTCATGGACACCCCGAATCACCTGGCTTCGGAGCTATTCATAGACCCCTTCAAACCAGGGGCTCTGGTCACCAAAAAGATAGAATTGCCTGGAACCATACAATTTGCTTCGTCGTACTATCAGCAGCTTCCTTGCGGCAAATGATATGGCTGTGGGTCATGGCACCCGCTTGACCTTGCTTGACCTACCGACACGACTTCGTTCTCTACATTGGAGTTGGGGCTCCAGGTTTTGTCCCATCCCCATATGCAACACTTCCACCCTTGGCCCTTTGCCAAGGCACTGGGAGGGCGACCGGCAGTGCTGGACCTCGGCGGGCGCAAGCACGCAAGCTAACGCGTCTCTTTTTTTAGCCAAGCTTCAAGGATGACCGGGGGAAAGCAAGGTAACGACCCTGTTGTCTTCTTAGCTTTTGCTTGACACTGCGTCCGCAGATTCATCTGCAAGTCTGTTGGCCCTGGTCAAGCCGCCTGAACGCAGGAGTGAACAATGGTTCAATAGGGGTCAATGTATATGCACATATACATGCACACACTAGTATTACATACCGTCCACCATACCATGGAGTGCCTGGGACCGCTTGGGCTTCACTTGCGACCAAGGCACATGGCTTTCGCTCGGTCGCTTCGACCAGGGCAGCCTTGGTGGGGCTATGAAGTGGAACATCCCGATCAGTGCAGTGGTGATTTGAGATCAACACATGTACCTTCTCATCATGCCCAGATCCAAGCCTTTTGCAGCTTGCCTTCAGCAGAAAGCTGGGAGCAATATATGAACTCCTCTGCGATGGGTGGACCACCCTTTGCTTTGGATGCTTTTGGATGCTTTTGGCATCCACATGTACATGACAGAACACCATATCGTACCATTGTGCTTTCATCTACAAACAACACCTGCATGTGCAATGCACATCGAGTTACTCTTGCTCCGTGTATCACTTTAAGCCTTAATTTATCTGGCTGCAAGTATACCAGTCTTTCAGTGTCTTTCAAGGCAGCTACCAAACACCCATGCAAATTCTGGAGGGAACCGAACGCACCTCGAACTCTCCAGCCATATATCACCGCAGGTCATGTGGGCAGCTCCAGTTTTGCCGCTGCGCAGGTCTTCGGATTGGAGATTCCAGGTGATCCAGTTGGATGTGCGTTCGCTTCGAAGTATGTGAAAATCGGCGGCTCGGAAAGAGATCCCAAATGGATGAAACGTCCTGAGAATTCAGGGGTAAACTTCACAGACTCGTGCGACTCGACTCGTAGGGAATGAGGGAATGAAGCACCCCAGGAAAGGCCCCTGTAGGCCTCCATTCCCAGACTTCCCTACGAGTCGCACCAGTCAGTTCAGGAATATCTCTGGCTGGATGCATCAGGCGGACAGCTTGGGTTCGGAGGGTGGTTCCAGGGTTGTGGAAGGTTTGTTCGAAGCCTCTCACCGACAGCACCACTTCAAGGACCAAACCTGACTTAACTTGAATGAGACCTTTTTAAAGACCCCATCTGGTGTTGGCACTGGGGCCAAAGACCATGAGAGGACAACATCTGACCAACGAAATGCCTTCCTGTACGACTCGATGGAACTCCTTTGGGCACCCGGATGGACCCTTGTGATCCCCTCAGAACCATGCGACATGTCCGTGACATGTCCGGACACTTTCCCTACCCAAGCACTCCATGTATGGAGTATATGTCTATGTCAATTGGGGTGGTTGAAGAGGGTCAATGTCAATGTAAGCATATATGCTGGTTGGTGTTTTCAACCCACTTGAAACATATTAGTCAGAGGGTCCAGTCATCCCCAAGTAAGGGTCGAAAATAACAATATCCGAAGCCATCACCTAGTATGGCATATATGCATATTTATTACAACATGGAGTGCTTACATACCATACATATCATTAAATACTATATATGGTATTATATATTTATATAAGGGCTTTTCATTGCATTCAGGTCCCATCTCATTTCATTTG